TCATTGAATTCGACAAAAGCTACCTTCTTATTTTTATTGAATTTAGCCTTTTCGTCTTTGAGCCTTTCTAGTTGTCGAACTCGATCAGCCAGTTGGGCCGTGTCCCTTAGATACTGGGTGTCCAACTTCTTCCTAATGGAATAGTCGAGACCTCTAGTGGCCATCTCGACCAACTCGTGTTCAGGGACCTGTGTGAAACATCTGGCCTTAAGCAAACGGAACCTATTAAGGTATTCTTCTATTGGCTCAGAAAAGTTACGCTTCACACTAGCAAGTTCTTTTAAGCTAATCTTGGTCTGACCCATATAGAATTGTTCATGGAATAAACGTTCTAACTGGGTCCAATTGCACACCGTATTGGGGGGTAGCGTTGTGAACCAAGTGAAGGCATTTTTAGTGAGAGAACTTGGGAAGCATTTTATTCTAGGGCTCTCATCATTGGCTATCTCTCCAGCCTCGATTAGATAACGGGTCACGTGTTCGACAGTGGACTTCGTCGTATCTCTTGAGAACTTAGTAAACTTTAGAACTTTCGTTCTAGGAGGCAATTCTGCTTGAAGGATATAATCTACTATTGGGGAGGTGTAGTTTGGCCGGGTAAAACCAGTGTTCAACCCGTTTCGAACCATAATTCTCTCAGCCATGGCTGCTAAATTATTGTCGACAGCCGCATTGTCGCGTCGAACCTGCTGGACGACATTATCCGCGTCCTGGTTTCGATTTACCATAATTACCTCTGGGTCTCTTTCCCCTAGACCACGAACCTGCTCCCTCAACATTTCGACCCTAGGTGGTTCGTCTATGGGATGACCCATCCTTTCCTGGATTTCCACTGATGGTTGATGTCCTAAAGCCTGTCGTGGAATGTTTGCTACCGGGGCTTGATTCCTGGCTAGGGGAGGTACCCCCATGAATTCATCCAATCACGTCAACTGTATTGCTAGTTGTTGATTAGTGTGGGTTGTGTTTTGGATCAATGGTTGGAAGATTTCCCCCATAATTTGGGATAGCGTTTGAACCATTTGCAAATTGCTTTCATCGATTTGTTGTCTTAAGCATGCGACGGAGGTATTGGTCAAGTTAGGACCCTGTGTCGAATATCCTAGGCTTGAACCTTGGGGATTTCGACCAACGTTCGCGCCAGGCCCAGATCCTTGTAATGGCGAAGCCATTGCATGATCTGAGAATATGGGGGGCATTTTGGATCCCTTGCATTACAGTTGTGGGAATCCCATATGGGGGGTTTCTTGGTGACTGTGAAAACTCGGAAGGAGCAAACTGTCTGGAAGTCAAACTTCCTCCTAACAGTATTTGAGGATTCGACGTCTAAGGCCCAATATATTCCAACACTGGTTGACTATAAGGTCTTATCACAGTCGACCCAGTCCCAAGTACTGAGGGTGTTGGTTCTGGCCTCACATGATGCGAGGTTTGTTCACCTGTTGACGGTATCGAACGCGGGACTAGTTGTTCCCTGTTCTTTCACTAGAACCGTCTCCTTGGGAGTTAGGATTATTTGGCAGACTTGCATCTGTCGCCATATTCCTAATGTTTCTTCTTGTCAGTCTTTCTTCGTTTACAGCGGTAATTCTACCACTTCTTAGTAACATAAAACGCACTTTTCACGAACAGACCAATAAGACTATAATCTTTACAAGTTTTGATTACACGACTGAATTTCTTCTTAGCACTGTCTCACTGGGCGTGCCATTTTGTTTCCCTTGAAAATTGAAAAACAACAGCTGATCTTCCAAATCTAACTTTAACTTTGGTGACTCACAGGATCGATCAGATTGATCCTAGGACATGTGCTAAAGGGTTTTCCTTGAACATTTATCTAAGTTTCACACCTTTGACAATATGCAGGGGAAGGTTCTTTTAAAGGTTACCTATTCGACTACAGGAGAACAAGTACATAAAGTTCTAGCAAAGAAAAGATACAAGTTTTAAAATAAAGAAGTTGAGAATGAGGACGAAGTAAAGAAGGAATAGAAAGGGGAGGAAATGGCAAGAAAGATAAAGTAAACTTTGTAAAATTTAAACAAGTAAAATAGACTTCATTGAAAAATAAAAGGTAGTGTGTTTACATCACGTACATTTCTTCAATGCTCTCTTTCTCTACACTTGGATACTTGGAGTAAGTCTAAGAGTGACTTGTACAAAAATAAAATTCTCACCATATTCTGTCTAAAACTTCCTATTCATAATAGCAAGAAATAACTACTAATAACTTCTCACATCACCATCTTTTGTCACTTGTCACGATGCATAGATTCGTTGTTCATAGGGCGTCATGTGTCCTCTTAGTCATCTGGCGAACGGAACTATTCCCTCCTAATTATTCAAATTTCAAATCTTCAGAAAAACTACCAAACGGTAAAACGGTCGAAACCCTTGTGGTTTTTCTTCAAGTCTGGTCAGTGCTTCGACTACTCCTCTTAGCTGTCTCACATCCTTCGACCAACTCTCGCCTCCAACCAACTTTTAGTGCTTCTCCTTAAATTTTTTTATTTTGCAAAAGGCGTCGAATTTAAGAGCTAACACCCTCATCCACAATAGTGGTCCCCTTATCCAAAATGTCTCCTTCATCCATAACATTTTCAACAATAATGGTCCCCTCATTCAAATTAACTCCTTCATCCACAACATTTTCAACTATATTGGTCCCCTCTACATTATTATTTCCTAATTTAGTGTTAATGGTGCATTTTCCAACAACATTTGGTCTTACCACATTGTATTCTAGTGAGAGTATTGGGTCCTCAATAATGTCAGATTGAAATATAAGATGAATAACTTATAAATGCATTATCTCAATCAACACTAAAACTGTTTTCATCCTCCTAATTCCCTTGTCATCTTTCAACAAAACCATCTTATTAAACTGCATTTCATCACAATGTCAAAGGTTATCTACAGTTGGATAACGTAAATCCTTTAACTCACTCAAAACTTTAAAATAACTGCAAAAATCAGGATCAACATCTCAAATTTCCTCTAACCCTTTATAACCTAATTTGGTGAACTTAGCAAACTCACTAGCATGATGCACAATACAATAAAAACAACTATCCATGACCAAATGTTGCTACCTAAATGAGAAATAACAGTAAGGAAGATGAAGTAACCTATAAATTTTACATTTTTAGTAACAAAGCATTGAGTATTTGCACCTTATGATTGAAGATTGATGAAGTTCTTCCTTCACTTATAAACTTTTGGAAATGATTTCCAAAAATAAAATTTCTACATTTAATTCTTGTTAGCATTACCCTGAGTTAATTTTAACAGTTACTTGTCATTTTTTGCCAAACAAAATTTATATAGTTTACAAAATATTTCATTGTACTCACAAACAATAATGCAGTGTTGCATAACTTGATCATGGGTTGTTTATTGGGACAGGTGAGTTTCATGCTAATATGTATTTCATTGTACTCGCAAACAATAATGCAGTGTTGCATAACTATCATAGGTTGGTTATTGGGACAGGTGAGTTTCATGCTAATATGTAAAGCTTGATGTGTTCCTGTGTTGTGTGTGGATATAACTACCTTAATATACTAGTGCAACTTAATTTCTCTCAAGGAGGTGCAAAAGCATTCAAAAATATTGCAGATATATAATTTAGAGGTTGAAAAAGAATTTATGCGGATGTGGGGCAGTTTTGGTCTTTGAGTAGGAAAGGAATAAGATTGGCAGAAACACAAGTCACAACCAGGAAGAAAAAAGTTTCAAACACTAAATATCAAAATAAGTAACAATCATCACAAAACAAAATTAACTATTTGGCAGACTGATAAGGGCGTGTCATCTCTTCTTTCTGTCTATTTTCTTTTTCTACAAAATGAATGAATAACAACCATAAGCTGACAACAAAAACAAAATGAGACAAACTTCTATCTCACAAGGAAAATTACAGGGAAAATTGTTTCTCTACTTTTTCCCTCTATCGAGGATTGGATGCATGAAAGCACGTTTTAGTTCAATCATTATGGTAGTGTGTTCATCTAATTGACACATTCAAGATTGAACCAAAACTCTTAGCTTCTTTCTTTAGGGGTCACGACCAATTAGCCATGTCAAGAATCCACGCACCCTAGAGCCTGTGTTCAACCTATTCCCTGAGCTGAAAGAAACGGTCCTTACTTATGAGACAGATAACAAGTCTGACAAAACCATGCTTATCTAGCAAGTGAAGTATCTGTCAAAAGGGAATCAATATATAAAGTAAATGATTATATGATTATTTTCATATCACTATCTATAACCAAGTTTCCAATATTAACCAAGCATATGATTATGTTTGGACCACTGTATATATATATATATATATATATATATATATATATATATATATATATATATATATATATATATATATATATATATATATATATATATATATATATATATATATATATAGTGAAGATCCACTTACTCCAAGAGTAAGTTTTTATAACTTACTCCACAATCATAGCTTTTAAATTAGATTTAATCGAATGGTTATAAGTAAAAATGCTAATTTAACCACTAGATTATATTCAATTTAAAGGCTATGATGTGCAGTAAGTTAAAAAAACTTACTCTTGGAGTATGTTGATCCCCACTCATATATATTCAAACCAAAAACACAGACCGCACCAAAACCCTGCCTTCAAGTCACCAAAACAGAAAGTTGAAGGATCTGTTTGGGATGACTGCAGGGTTTTAGAGGGCTAGATCTATATTTTTAAAAAAATGAATGAATACCATGATGTATATGAATAATATGTACATATAACAATTGAATCAAGCTTCATTTATTTTCAATAACTTTTTATAGCATGCTTAATTTCAGTGTTATTAACACTGCTTAATTTAGAAAAGAAAAATAAGACCTCCCCTCACCTCCTAACCGATTAAATCCTCCTTCCAAACATACCCTAAAGAAATTTACCACAGTTTTTTAGTCAAACATGCAACAAGGTATTCACAATATTACAAATCATACCTAAATATTATGAGTGATGCACTTGTCGGGATATCTGTAGCATCCAATCAGCATACCCACTATTACCACCCATCTGGTCCTCAACTAGGTTTGCAAGAAGAAGGAATCCTTCTTTGGGTTGTTCACCTTGCCTCACAAGATGGCACAACTGGTAATATCCATGATCATCATTTCTTAACTTTTCAAGTACCCTCATCAGCCTCCTTGACATTTCATTATTATGCTCATTGAGAGTAGCCTGTTAGAAGAAACAAAATATACACACAGCACTGGATGAATTTCGGTTTTGGTTCAACTAGACAAAGAAAGGAGGAACACACACACACACACCTATTCTGATACTTGACCATGCAAGAAGTTATTCTATGGGGTAGAGAATAATATTGATACCACTATAAATAACAGTCACAGAATCTTGTGATGAGATTCATGTCATCAAAACTCACCATTGAATTTAAATTATTAATCGTGAAGATGAAGCTCATGGATATTGATGTTAATTGTATGATTATCTTATACCTTATCTAAATTGTTTTCTGTTTTTCTCCACCTGGAAACTTGACACCACCATAAATGACTGTCAATCCAAATGTGTACTCACTGAATTTGGGGTTGATGAAAGTTGTGAGAGATTCTTCTCTATTACAATATTGTCAGTTCAAATTATTTTTTCTTCTCCACCACTTTCTTAACTGTTGTTCATCCAACAATTTGATAACAAAGAGGAGTTTAAGAGTTACTTGAGAATACAAATGTTGAACAGTGTGCAAGTCACAATTGAAATGCTTTTAGTTTTTCTTTTTTGATTAAAATTATTTTATTATGACATGGTAAGAATGTGAACTCCAATTAGATGCGAATATAAAAGTATATGTAAAAGTGTTTTCCACTTACTGTATGCGTAAATTAAACTCCACCATATAATATTATTATGAACTCAATTAAGAAAAACAAGGTCTGCCTCTCTCCTTCTCGGCCTAGAAAAATAACCTACTATGAACTTAAGTTTGTACAGAACGAATACACAATACCTTTGATAATTCTGCTGCAAAGTCTGCCCCGAGTAAATTCTTTGCTATATCAGGGGAAATCACCCTACCAAACCATATAATAAACCGGAAGCCATCATCATATAAATAAAGGCCCCTAGAGTCTAAGCTCTCCCCAGCCAAAGGTAACCTTCTCTCGATACTTTTTAAGTCATCAGCTTGTACAGATGGCTGGAACATACAAAAATAAATCAGACGGTTTAACCCTTTAATTGGTAAATCATCAAGGGTGGGTAACGCATACCTTTAGAAGATATTCATCAAGTCGAATCAAGCTAGGATAGAGAAGTTTCAACAATCGTTTTATTGGAAGAATCATGATTGTATGTCCTGCTGCACATCGATCATCCAATGGAACATCACCATACCCTCCACGTAGAGCCATTGATCTACAAAGAGCTAATCCATACAACATTAGGAACTTTAAAGATTCGGGATATATCATTCTGTTGGCCAAGCGATGTTGCACAGCATAAAGATTTCGATACTCCTTGAGGGCTTTCACAATTCTTAGTTGCACAGCACTCCGTGCATCGTCCAGTTTTTGGGACAATGTTTTCTCATTAGCTGCAAATATGAAGGAAGTGTATAAGATAAATAAACAGGATCTGCCGCATACATGATATGTCACTAAAACATAAGTCCAGAAGTCCTGTTTATCCTACCTAGTCTAGAAAATAGAGAGACAAGTGCACCAGTATCAGCCAGGCGATACATATCCGCCAAGTCTGTAACTACGGGCACTGCCATTGTGTGTACTCTGATACGCCTTTCTCCACAGGATGCAGTGTAACTATTTTGTTGTTAGGGATGCATACAATTTAAGAAAATTACATGCTAAACATCTTGACTTATTGAATTCAACTGAATATCAAGCACAGACATTCAAACAATCGTTTAAGGGTCAAAGAGAAAGTACAAAGTATAATAAAGATGAGCTGGATGTATTATCGACAAAAAGAAATGAGCTGACTGGCCTACAAGAAACACTAAAAAAAAAAAAATAAGGCCATTTTATAAAATAAATAAAAAATGAACTTTTCAGGAATGACTCAAAAGTACAAACTAATTTGGACAATAATCTGACTCCCTAAGAATTACTGTGTTTTCCTTTTTGCATAGTAGTATCATAAAAAAATTGACGAAACTTTATCATAAACAATAAAGCACATGTAGATAGTAGAATCCATCATAAGTATTATTGAAGAAAGGATACAGCAATGCAACTTGAAAATAAATAGTCTGAGTTGTCAATAATGTCTCTTCGAGTGATAACTGCATGGCAAAGGCTTTATCACAATCTACAGCTGGAAGTGCCAACAAATCTGTGGATCTTAGCATGAAGTTCCCATGATAAGTTGTGAAGCGAACACCTGAAAAAATAGGCAATGATCATCAATTATATGTGAATGTGCGTGTGTTTACTCCTTCCTATATATTTTTAATTTTATATACTCATTGCATGTAACGGTAAATAAACAAAAGTAAGCAAACAATGTAAGTATTTCCAAAAACAAAATGAATGCACAAACCTTTTGCACATCTAATACGCATTACAGCTTCCCATGCAGTCTCTCTAGTGAGGTCTCTCCTTAATTCATGACTCAATTTCTCTCCATGAATGGCTGATTGGAAAGCTGGATAGTAATTCACTTGACCAGCAGTGTACTTTGCCAGAGTTCCTACACAAACAGTAAACATAAATGCATTATTTACTTCAAGTATAAGATCATTAGCATGGAACACTATATGCTTAGACAGATGCTGACAAAATCATAGCGAACAGAATAACATTGGGGAACGGGTACAGTATTAACAGATATAACAGCTACAATCAACACATAATTTGTGAGTTCTTTTTGAGCATTTACAAACCAGTTCATTGCCAAATAGATCTAAGAGTTAGAATGTCAGTTTATACTCCATACATCTATAGTCACAACACTGTCAGGGAAGAATATGGAAATCATTCAATTTAAGTTTATTCAACAGTTAAAGTATGAATTAATTACACAAATTAGATCGCTTAATGGGATACTAAAGTCGTCTCGTTGAGTAATAATGCAGGCACTAACGGGAAAGGTCACAAACTCATGGCTTCAAGTTAACATAAAACAATACAACAAGCCCACAGCTAAAGAATCGTCAAATATATCAATCAGAAATCTTCAAAGTTCTAATCCAGAGCAAGGTTTAACATTAGAATAAAATGCTGAAATACGTAGAAATTTAAGGGAGAAAATACCTAAGGAGGCTATGTCAGTGTACTTATCACTGAATGCATACACATTTACTGATATTTGGTACTTAGAAAACTCAGCAGCCATTTGCTTATAAAATGGATCTTCGGGCAGTCTCAGTGCATGTTCTTTATCTGTCCCATAAACACGAGAATCATCTCCCCGTAACCTCAAGCGACCAACACCGAGAGATGGAAGTGTGTTTTGAAAAATTAACAATTTTCCTCCAAGCGTACTCTGCACAGAGGCACAAAAAAAGACCACAACAGAGGAATGCATAAGAAAATGAAATTGTCAAATGCAGAAGAAAAAAAATGTACTCAAAAGTCGATAAACTCATGGTGAATACTGAATAGTGTTCTTTTAAGTTTTGATAGCAATAGATCCCCCCATTCTGCAAGGATTAAAACTAGCTTCTCTATGGCTTATATAATTTATTCAGTGACTGTGATTTAAGTGTACCCAGCAAAGCTGGCCACATGTGGAACTTGGAATTCAGCAAGGTATTAAATTTAAGAATATGGAAGGTTTGGGTATGCACTTGGTTGTTTTAACACAAGTAAAATTATGTATTAACAGAGCTGGATTAGAGTTGAGACAACCTTCACTAGGAAAAGAATGTCTTCAGACCAGTATCACTATCAATATGGTTATAAGTAAATAGATCGAGAAAGTATGATGGAAATGCATCTCCTCCCTACACCCATGCATGTCAGAGCATGGTCCCTCCAACCAGAATTACCCCCTCCTCTTCATTCGCTCATATTATTTATACCCTATCAACAAAACTAGGTTTGTGTTTGCAACACTTAATATCCCCAGTAGAGCATAAAAACTAATATAGTCAACTATAGTATGCAACTCTGATTAAATTAATAGAAATTTATATCAAATACATCAGGGGGGGCTAGGAAAGGAATTTATGATTAAAAAAATCACCATAAAAAGGTAATTATGATAATACCATAACCATGAAAGCAGCCTTAAGAGCAGGACCAAAAGCTGATTCCAGATTAACATTATCTTGAAACATAGTTGGCAAACTATCTAGGAAGGCTTCCACCACACTTCTTGATTCAGATAAGTTAACAAGAAGATCATCTGGGAGTGGAATAAATATGTCATCCAGATCTGAGACTACAAACATCTGTGGTTGATTCAAGGTTGACTGCAAAAGCATTATACATAGAATGTTTAGTACAAATTATGACCAAATGAGGGAAACATAGACAGATTTACAGTGGTAACGTACTATTGCTAATAGTACTACAAAGTACAAACCTTCAAGTTATAAAAATGAATAGTGCTGTCAAAAGTTGCAAACCCTATTTGTGTTCGTGGAAAGCCGGGCAACTCGTCTAAGCAAGACTTGATTGTTTGGGCTGCAACCTGAGTTAAGAACAATAACATCAGAAATCAAGAAGACATGTGCCTAACATCTTCAACTTTTCATATACCCTTTTTGCTTATATTTTCATTCCAGGGGGAGTATTGTGTAAACCCAAATGCAAAAAGCATTCCATAACCCAAAGTTGGCAAGAGAAAAATGTAACCAAGAAGTAACTAACTGTTACTTCCAGAAATTTTCATTTTTGAATATTGACTTTTAGGTATAATGGTATGAATTTGCCTTTGCAATACCTAAGCATAACTCTTCCTGGAAATTACTTTTCGTAAACAATCCCCAATAAAATTTGTATTCTAAAAGTTTTTCCATAAAAATTACAAAACATGCTTAAGAAGCATGATATGCAATGCAACCCTCAAACGCGCATAAGAAATAAGCTCCACCAATTATTGAGTTCCAGCTATCATTAAATTACACAAAGAATGGGGGAGTTTTAAATAATTAATATCATTTAAAAGATATGACTTCCAGCTATCATTATATTACACAAAGAATGGAGAGTTTTGAATAATTAAAATCATCTAAAAGATATGTGTAAAAGTTCCATGAAAATGAAAAACATATTAATGAGCAATTCGGTGCACAGACCACTTCTTCTCTTAATGAACTAGTATGAGAAAAAATACATTAGAACATAACTCACGTAACTTTTGTCTATGGCTTATGGTCGCCGAAACCAAATTTTATCAAACATGTATCTACAAGGATCATGAGTCTTTAATTCTCATTAAAAAAAATAAGGCCGTACATACATTGCACAGCCTAAAGAAAAAAAAAATTTCATGAAAAAATGTGAAAACTCTAATGACTGAGATTTGGTATGGACTACAAGCTATACATTGAGCCAGAAACGAAATGCTTACCTCAATCATGCCACTTCTAACTGCAGATATGGAAACATCAATGAGGAAGAAATATACTGGGGGCATAGGAGGCCGCACCATATACTCAGCAGGGGCAACAAATTCTACAGTACCCTTTGTAAGCTCGGGTCGCTGATTCAAATCAACTCTTTTTCCAGTGGCATCTAACTGGGCATGATATTCACTAGGAACTGCACATAAAACTCAATAGATTAACATCTTAAGTGCGGCACAACTGACATGAATATACAGAGTCGGCAAAGTCAGAGAACAAGTTTAGCTCCCATGACATAACACCATCATCCACATTATATAGTGAAAAAAACTAAGTCTTGCATTCTTTGACCAAGTGTCCTTTTGGGCTTATCCAATAAAATGCAATGATGCAGAAATTTTTGAATTTTCAGATCCTCTAAGAAAATCTTGTTTAAAGTGATTGAGACTTGATTGCTACCATTTTCTTCCATAAAGACTTCTCAGTTATAACTTATAAGGGAAAAAAACAAGGTTATGGGAGTAAGAAGTACCATCATTAAGCAAGGTGCATACATTACACCGGTACTTTCTTCCAGCTTCTGTAAATGTCACATAAGGATTCACGTATGTCCGGCATCTTCTGCAGCGTACAACACTAGCTGGAGCAAAACTAATTATCGGCACCTCTTCCTGAAAACAAAGAGTGGTGAACAAAAGCAAATAAGACGACCAGTAAGTTACTGCTCATCAAACAGACAAAAAGAGGCACTAACCCCATCTGGAGATTCAGCAAGTGGACATACAACTGCTCCAAGAGGCAGATGCCACCTTGAAGCTAAGGACTGGGAGCTAGGAATTGCACTGGTAGTGAATCGCATATATCTGGGATTGCAATTCATGGGATAAACCTCTGCCAAATTCTTCGGCTCCACATCACCATCCAATGGCCTTGGAAGATCTTTAGCATCAAATAATGCATCCATTGTTCCAGGACGAGTTTGCATTGTGAGCGAACTGAAGTCTTCTGTCAAGCCCTGAATGGCACCAGCAGGGGGTGCATATCCTGGTTGCTGTGTGGGCTGGACACCTATTGGAGTAGCCACCGGGATTGATGAAGCGTAGCCTCCTTGATGAGGTGCAAAGGGAGATGGTGCTGCAGGCGGTGCAGGTCCATAATTTCCTTGGTTTGCATGAATAGAGGAATGTATAGGTGGAGCTTGCATTTCGGCACCAGGCTGCACACGGGCATATCCAGGAACAGATGGCTGAAATTGAGGAGGAGGAACATTTGAACCCATAGGTGGAGACCCCATTTGAACATAAGGCATCTGCGGCTGAGGATGAAGAGATGAAGGAAAGGGAGGTGCTTGACTTGCATGTTGATGAATTGATGGCTGTCCCAAGGGTGGAGCCCGTGTGAGAGGAGGCTGAACAGTCGACAAAAAGGGAGGTGCTGTAAAATGCTGGAAAGGTCCAGAAGCTGGCACTGGTGGAACATTGGATGATGGGAGAGGAGGAGGCACTGATGGGTCATTGAACCTGCCTGGCGGTGTAGGTCTAAAACTGGGTACCCCTGGTCTAACAGCAGGTCCAGACGATGGAAACGGTGTGGCCACTTGGGGAGGTACAGGAGGAGTAGGTCGGAAAGAAGGAGGCTCTGATCCAGCCACAGGACCCATTGATGAAAAAGGTGTCATAGTCTGTGCAGCCGCAAACGGCAAGGAATTAGGTCTCGAAGGGAAGTTTGGATGACCGGGATTTTCAGTCCCCATAGATAGATTAAAGAATAATCCAATCACTCAGCTTTTGAATTATCAAAACATTTGTTCCGTCACCAAGCCTGTTGAAAAACAAACAAAACAACACAATGATTGATACAGATAATCAACAAAATATATAACAATTCAGAATCCACAATACAGTTTCAATCAACATAAGTATCACAACTCAAATAAATCAGAAACCCTTCCGATCACTTTTCCCCACTCAACTAAACTTAGATAGCTTATCCTACACAAGTTAAAATTGGTAAATAACACTACAATCAACATAAGTATCACAACTCAAATAAATCAGAAACCCTTCCGATCACTTTTCCCCACTCAACTAAACTTAGATAGCTTATCCTACACAAGTTAAAATTGGTAAATAACACTACAATACATGAAAAACAACACGCGTAGTAACATGAATCATAATAAAACAGAGAATTGAATCAACTTAAACAAACAAAAGCAAAAGAAGAGTAACAAGATTCATATACATACGGAATCATTAGGGTTATGAATATAAATGTAAAAGAATCAACTTAAACAAACAAAAGCAAAAGAAGAGTAACAAGATTCATATACATACGGAATCATTAGGGTTATGTATATAAATGTAAAAGGCTAATTCGACTTTCATCAACTGTGACGGATCGAGAAAAATCGGAAGATGTTGAAATTGAGATAAAGACTCACCGAGTTCGGATCGGAGATGCGGAGAGTGAATCGTTGGAGGTAAGATTCGGCGATAGAACCTATACTCAAAAAGCGAAAACAACACTCTCCCAGACTCACAGGGAGGATGGAAGGTGCTGGAAACTGTTCTGCGATCAAACAAACGTAGAGAGTAGTGATTCCGGCAGAATTCTCGGCGGCGGCGATAAAATAAAAGCGTGTATGGTATCACCGGCAACCTAGATGATGGGTAGATCTCTGTACTATTCTACACGACAGTAGTAAATAAACAAACTCCTTCGATTCAATTCACTCACAAAATTGGAGATAGATAGATCATAGATGTGAAATTTCATCCTGATATTTTTTAAAATATATTTGATGTTTATTTTTATTTTTGAAAGAAAATAAACTTTTATTATTTTTATTATACATAATCATATTTTTTGTTTTAAAAAATAAATATATATTTACAAGATTTAATTTGAACATTTATTAGTTAACTTTTTAAACTTTTTTATACTTCAATTTCATCAACAATTAAAAATAGTTTTAAAAAATATCTTTAAAAATATTTATTTTATGTTATTTTATTTGATATGCCCGTGACAAAAAAAAGTTACAACATCAATTTGTACAAAAAGGATTTTATCAAAAATATTAAATATATTGGTTGTGTAAAATATTATCAAAATACTTTTTGAATTAATTTTTTTAAATTAATTGTTGAAATAATTCTAAAAATATGATTTTATTTGATATTAAATAATTTACATAATCACAAGTCAGGATATACAAATTAATTTCATAAGTATTATTTAAAATTCTCTAACATAATATTATGTAAACATGATACATAATAAATTAAAACAACATGCTATATTAATAATAAACAAAAATATTTGATTAAGTTTGATTGAAGAAAAATTATAAAATATAATTTTATTCGTGTCACGTTCACAAAAATGATCTATACACATTTAATAAAAATTATTTTTTTTATTTTTTTAATTAATTTATAACTTTTATTTTTTACGAGTCAAAAAGTACATGTGTTTTCTCTCTAAGTGCATATAAATTCAAAAACCTTAGTAATTGTATAACATGTTTTGATCTTGAGGACTTGCTCACGATAGCGAGAAGTCTTGTACGGTGGTGTTTGAGATTATTTAAGGGACGAATTCACGTGAGGTGGAAGACTTTGTTGGCTATTGGCGCTGCTTGATTACAAGCAGACATATAGGTTGGTCGTGTATGTTAAGAAGGTAACGAGCGTGGTGCTCTTTGAGTTGTAAAGAGTATGTTAAAATGTTCATTTCTTAATTATAGATAGCTCTCTATTTATATGTATCAGAGTAGCTATGTGATTTTACAATAATAATTCATGAAATGCTACAAAACTCATTATTTTATCAGTAATTACTTGAGAATGAAAGGTTACACATTAAAAGATGGTGGAGCGAGTGGATATTCATTTCTTTAATGAACGATAGTAATTCATAGCCATTCTTATCAATGAAATGCCACCTTTTTATTTTCCTACTCCTTAAATCTTTTGCATTTTCTTTTCTTCACCCCATTACTTGCATGGAAAGTGAAACTTATGAAAATTGGAAGCCTTAGAAGATATAAAATGGTTTAAAACACACACACACACACACACACAAAACAAAATCAAACATTTTTGGAAAAAAATTTGGGCAAGGTAGGACCTTACTCCTTTTATTGTTGAAATATTAGATTTGATTAGATTTAATATTTAAATATAATTTAAGTTGTGTTAGCTCAAGCCTAATTAGGGTTGTATATAAATAGTCATAGTATGTATCATTATTCATAACAATTCAATAATAAATCCTTATTTTCTTATTCTCTCTCTCTGTCTCTTTCTCTCCTCACCAAAAGTGCATCATGCACTAACAAATTACCCCCTATAATCCAAGTTGTCGAGCATATGCTAATTATAGTCAATCTGAATTATTCATAATTTCTTTCTCAAATTCAAAAATATGTCGACCTTTAATTGTTTGGTGAAAATATCAGCCAATTGTGCTTCACTTGAGCAGTGTCTAACTTCAAGTTCACCCTGATTTACCTTTTCCCTTAAGAAGTGAAACATAGCTTTGATATGCTTACTTCTTCCTTGCAAAACTGGATTCTTTGTTAGATTTATGGCAGACTTGTTGTCGATTTGCAACGCAAGAGGTGTCTTTAGCTTTTTGGTAGGGCGCTTGTTCAGAATATAAACAGTATGCATCTCGTCGTGTCTAATATGGTCCTGTTTCTTCTTTCTGCTATTCCATTATGTTAAGGAGTATAAGGAGCAATTATTTCATGATTAATACCATGTTCTGCACAGAATGCTTCAAATATCTTGGATGTGTATTCGCCACTTCCATCTGTTTGCGGAACTTTAATTTTCTTTTCACCCTGGTTTTCGACAAGTATCTTGAATATCTTAAAGATTTCAAATACTTTGTTGTTTCGTTTGATCACATAGATCCAGAGCTTTTTACTATACTCATCGACAAATGAGACGAAATACTTGTTTCCACCAATGGTGTGCTCTTCAAAAGGACCACATACATATGAATGTACAACTTCGAGTATGTAGGATGATCTCATTGGCATAGTTGAAACAAAATACTTCCTGGACTGCTTTCCGACTAGACAACCTTCACAGAGTTTGTCAGGCATCTTAAGACTTGGTATACTAGTTACCATATCTTGAATGATCAGTTGATTTAGCGACCTAAAGTTTAGATGGCCAAACCTCAGATGCCACAACCAACTATTCTTGTGGTCAACAACTGTTTTCAGACATTGTACCTTAGTCGAACTGATCATGGTCTTAAATGTTTTATTCTTCGACAGAGGTCATAGGAGATTTCAAGACCAAGTTATTTTGAATGTCGAAAATTTCTAAGGCTCTATCTTTCATAACTTCGACCAGTTGTTCAACACTTAGCATATTCCACTTCATTCCAGGGGCATAGGGTACATATTTGATCAAGTCTTTTGCTTCATTACTCATTTGAATAACTATGTTGCCAGTACCTTCTGCTGGCAACGAGCTATTATCAGTAAGTTTCACCTTACTCTTCTTCGACTCGTCGAAATCTACTAACCATGTTTTTTTAACAGTCATGTGATTCAAACAGCCTGAGTCGAGGAACCATATCTTAGGTTCGATATGGTCATCTGCAATCTGAATCTTGATGTAGGAAGCATTGAACATTGGGTCAAGAGTAACATAAGCGAGAAACTCCTCCAATATTTATTACAACATGTTTAATTAAACCTTTTGAAATGGGATTGAAATCCCACATGTCATGTTCTCTTTGTGAGTTTGGATCAAAATGACAATGCTTGACCTATTTCCTTTCAATAATTGGTCTTTTATTTAATTGTTTCGGTCATGAATTAAATTAGGTGTCATTGACTCTTCTAGCATATGCCCTTGTTATAGGAACTCTTAAGTTTTGATTACTTCATTTATATCTTGGTGCTCTATGTCCTCATCAATTTCACTACCTTAACTATTAATGGCTTTGATATTCAATCGTTATTTGGTGGTATAAAACGCTCAGGATTCTTTGATTGTGAAAAGAAAACAGTTTATATCAATCTTGTCAAAGAGTTTTGGATGCATACCTTTATGGAAGATAACTAAATCACATGTTTCATTCAAGGAAAAACTTTTAGAATAAATGCAGAAGATATTTCTGAGTTTACTATAGTTGAATGTCGTGGTAGAACCATTAACATCATTGAGTGATTCATGCACTAAAAGGTGAAGGTGATAAGAAACATGAGAAACGAGGGGTTTGAATTGGGTTTCTTAGATGAAACTTTTTCGTACCCAAAACACTCAAAGATGAAACAATAACAAAAATAAATGAACACAAATATTTTTGTCCTGGTTCATTGTTAACTAAGATAGTCCAGTCCACCCACCAAGGTGATTTCGCCTTATTAACAAGGACTTAATCCACTATAATCAAGTGATTACAGACACACAAAGACTACCCGTCAATGTCTTCTCGAAAATTCTGATTATACCCTAGTCTCTCAAGGAATACAAACAATACAATCAAAAGATTGATACAAAGGCGTATTTACAAGATTGCTTTTGAGAAAACATATTACACAAGTTTAAGTGCAATGAATTACCACACAAAAATGAACAAAATATATATGTGTGTGTTTTCTATGCTATATTCATAATAATATTCAGTTCAGTAAAAGCATTATGATGTAGCTTGAATTTGCGCAAACTAGCGTAAAATGGAAGCTTCATTCATTCTTCCAAGTCTCCTTTATATAGGCAA